GGTCTAATTTGGGTCCGCCCGTGGCGTCACTGTGCTGGCCCCCCCAGCAGGCCTCGAAAGTGGCGACGGTTTCACAGATCGCAGCTCCCCAGGGATGGCGAGGTCTAATTTGGGTCCGCCCGTGGCGTCACTGTGCTGGGCCCCCCCAGCAGGCCTCGAAAGTGGAGACAGTTTCACAGATCGCAGCCCCCCAGGGATGGCGAGGTCTAATTGGGGTCCGCCCGTCGGCGGGGCTGCTTGAGCTGGGCGGCAGTCCGCTGGGCCAGCCTCGATTTCTCCCTAGAGAGCGACAGGCGTGGCGCGAAGCGCAGAACATGATAGCACTGGAACGCTATGTCTATATAAAGGGCACGAGATACCAGCTCGAGCGGGGGGCTCCGACGGCCCAGGGATGAATGGCGGCTCTCTCTCTTTCCCCGAGGATTCCGAAAAACTGGGGGGGGGGGTAGCTCAAGGGCCCCGCAAAGGATGTCGCAGACGACAGGGCGTTCTAGGTAGTGAAAGAGAAAGTCAGAACTAGCGGCACGGCAGTGCGTGCAATCCAGGGTGGGCCCTCGGAACCGAGCGGAACAACGCCAGGCGTTGGAAACGTATTTCAGAAGCGAAACAATAACCGAACAGGGAACTAGACTGGCCAGGCCAATCAGGGACATCAGAACACGATCGAGATCAACATGATTCGAAGAACCAGTGAGCTTCTTCATGCGGAACACCATGGGCACGTGGAGTCCTTGGGGGGCTTGCAGACGATGTCATATTTCAGTCTTACTCTGGATCCTGGAGGTGCCTGAATACGGGGCCAGCGGAACAGCGCAAATCTGATCACAGTTGGACATGAGGGAGAACATCGATGTCTCCTTACATTGCGGATGAGATCTCCATGCAATGATGCATTCCTCACTCTCGGCCATGGCGTGGATCCGCGTCCGCGCCCTAAAGACCTCGAAGGAGTTAGTTGCGCGCGAGCCTGTAAAACGCAGCTGGCGAGACGAGATCGAGGCGGCGCATGTGACGTGGGAGGCCCAAGTCCTCGAGATTCTCGAACAGGACAAGGCAGTGGGCGTTGTTGGGCCCCCCCGCCAGGGCTTGTCCAGCCGATCGCGCGCTCTCGAAGGCCACGGGGGCAGGAAAGAATGACTGCAACAAATGGGATAAACATCTGAACGCGCTCTGGTTGAAGACGGCGATGCGTTTGGCAAGCCCGAGACCGCAGCTCTTGATACCCCTGGTCCCGGCAAGCCATTTCCGAGCAGGAGCGCCCCGAGATCTCAGAGACCCACCCCTCTTCCAAGATAGATGCCTGGATACTTGGCGGGCTCGACGACTCGGAACTCCGAGGGCAGACTAGCGGCGACCATGAGAGACAGGTGCCTCTCGGGCATCACCCTCTGAAGGAGGATGATGAATGTCTTGGTCGCGCCAAGAGTAAGACCTGCAGCGGCGGCAACGCGCTGAAAGACTGGGGGCAGCGGGGCGAGCGAGCGGTTAACACCTTGCGCGACCATCCCTATGTCGTCGGCACAGGCAGCCAGCAAGGATGGCGAACGTGAGAGCCTCGACTCTGGCATGCGAAGGACTGGGCCCATACACAAAGATAACAGTGACGCTGACAATGGACACCCTTGTTTGATGCCGCGACGAACCCGCCGCCCATCCCCCTGAGGCCCACGGGAGTTGACCGGTACCCGTGCCTTTTCCGAAGGAAGTTCACCTCCTTCAAAACAAGCAGGATCATGGCGCGCAGCAGATTAGGAAACGCGGCGCGCGCGTCAAAGGTCACATGCCCTGCACGCCATAAACCGTCCTGGATGAACCGTTCAACTGCCCGAGATTCAAGAGCCAGTATAGGTATGTACATATATATATATAGTTCGTAAAATGCCGCCCAAGGATGCAACTGCGCTGAATTTCAGAGCAGGATTCATGCAGAACGCGAATGGCAGGTCGGTTGACAGCGCGGCTTATCCGCTTGTTGTCAGAGCTGCCCAACGCAATCGGGCGCGTCTGAGCTGGCGCGCGAAAGACTGCGTCGACAGCATCATCGGGGCAATCTCCTGTCGAAAGAAAAGCAGCCAGATAACCGGGAGGCCAGCAGCTCTTGACACACGTTCAACAGCGGCTCCATCGTAAGAGTGCCTCCTCGCAACCACGCAGAATAAGGGGTGCGATCGGGTCCAAGACAAAAAACTTCAGCTTCCGCAGCAGACACGCAGAATTCATCAAATTCAAATTCCCAGAATATGAGAGGCGGCAGTCTTTGAACGAACGGCTGCAATTCGCGACGGCACTGGGCTTCACCCACGGCGCAAGCATGAACTCGGCTCCAGTGAGCAGCAAGCTGACAAGCTACTTCGCGGGGGTCGGTAAGCTGCAAGCCTGAGGGATCAGAAACACCTGGCAGCGTGATGCGACGCCGCCGAGATCCCCGCGCGCAGAGGTAAGACGTCAGCGTAGACTTCAACACATCATTTTGGAAGGTGGGGAGATTGGCAGCTTCGGCGTCGCTAAGCTGCTCTTCGAGGTGAGCGGTCTTCAATCTGCTGATGTATTCGTGAAAACCGAGCAGGTCGGTCCACGTGCCAGGCCGGCTGCAACTAGAAATACCAAACTCGGGCGAAGCCTGCAGAGCGCGCTGAAGAAATATGAGGCGACCCTGTCGAAGACTACGCACAGCAGACAGCCCAGTGAATCTCTTCGTCGCGCGATAGGGGGCCTCCAGAGCGGGCGTGCTCGACGACTGCTTTGGCGGCAGCCTTGATGATGTCCCTGGCTTTCCCGAGATCGCCGCCGAGGTCGGCGCCCAGGGGCCCGGCCTCTTCCAGGAACCTCTGCGTGAGAGCGCGGCGCTGCGGACTGCTCTCTCCGTTGCGCGGCGCCACCATTCCCGTTCAGCATGCAAATCTAGAGGCGCCCAGCAGGGTGGGTGCGCGAACATCAGCTGGCGGGATGTGCTGCTGCATCTGCCGAAGCTCTCCATTCGCGCGAGGGATTGTTTGATCGGGATTAATGCGCGCGCTGGTGATCTGTGCACTGCCGCGCTGGCCGCGGAGGGCGAGAGAGCGAGTGCGACCAGGAACGAGAATGCGATGCTAGAAAACTCGAAAATGTCAACGGAGAGGCGGGTGAACAAAAATAAGACTGCCACAGGCCGAACGATCCTCGAAGGACGCGCCCCAGCCCAACGCACTGTTGATATCCTTTTTGAACCCAGATCGTGTTTGGATCCACGAGCTTCCTGAATGCAGACAACATCGCGTTTCATGACAAACGGACAGAAGAGTTTCAGTTTTGGTCTCATCGCAGCGTGGCCGGTGAATAAACCTCCGAACAGCGAACGAGCATTCCATGTAACAGTTGAGAAATCGCTGCTGGGATAAGAAGGCTTGGCAGGGCACTGGCGAGGGCGGCCGTCGCGGCCGAGCGAGGACGAGGAGCTGGAACTGGATGAGCTGCTGTTGGAGGCCGACGAGGAAGAGGGAGAAAGAGCATGCAGAAGCCGAGCTCGAACTTGAGGCCGAACGCCGCCGCGTCTTGCGACCCGCAAGAGGGCGCCCACGCATGTGGCCATCACCGAACACAGGCCCATGAACGGACGTGTTAGGCGAAGGAGACACCTACTCGATAGCGCTCTTGGTCATCGCAGCCGTCTGGTCTTTGCCAATCTGCAAGCTCTCGAAGGCTGCAAAGTTGGGCGCGATGGTGGCAGACACAACAGGGTTCTCAACCAGTGCGCGCAGGATAATGACCTCGTCGCCCTTCGTGAAAATACAATACCCTTGTGCCCGCTCACTCCAAAGAAAATGTCTTGTCCGATTCCTTTGGCGGCAAAATGCCGCGATATACCATGCCGGACACGTCCAAGAATGTGATTGCGACGGCGTACATCGGGAGTGGCGTGAAGCTGAATGGGACCGCTGCCCGACTGGAGCGAGAAGCCGTTGGTCTTGATCAACTAAAGGGTAGTCTTGGCGTCGGTGGTGTTGCTGAACGAAACACTGAAGGTTTCGTCAATAGTGTGAGCCTTAGCTTTTGTGGGGTGCTTGATGTGCGAGGGAGGGTGCGGGATCACTTGCGTATTCATGAACTGGTTCATGGCACAAGCGAGCATCGAAGACTTGAACCCACCAAGCCATATCTCACACGGATCCGCACCATCATCATATTTGCCTCCACCTGTGAAGCTGCTGCTTGAAAGGAACTCTTACCCTTGGACCAGCGGGGAAATGTGGGAAGAGAACAGCGAGTACTAGCTGGGTCGACCTTCGCGAGCAGGGCCTTCTCTTTGGCCTCAACAAAGCCAGCATTCATATGCCTCTCTATGGTCGTCATGCGATCGCTCAACTCGACGTAATGTTTCTCGTGTTTGTTGATAGACTCTTACATGACGCAAAAGTCAATATTTGTGGCCATGTTGGACTCCATTCTGCTGAGAATAGCTCGGATACCTTCACCACCTTCTTCAACACAGGGCCTCCGATGACGAGTTTTGCCGACGGCGTCCAAGCCTTTCCCCAGGCCCATGGCGTCCAGTCGGTGCGGCGGTGAGGCGATGGTCGCGTCAACGGGTTCACCACCCGAGGATGCAACCTCCATGGCGGATGCGGGAGACTGAAAAAGAGACATGTCCGCCCGGGCACGATACCCAGATCGCCCTCTGGAGAAGGCTGCCCGCTCAGAAGCGAAGCGCTTGAGCCAAAATGGTTTGAGCCAGAATGGCTACGGAAGTAAGAAAAGGAGGAGGAGGAGGAGGAGGAGGAGGAGGAGGAGGAGGAGGAGGAGGAAGGGCGATGAGGGAGGAGGGGCGAGGAGGGAGAAGAAAGGCCTGGTGGCTTCCGGGCCAGAACCCGGGCCTCCTGCGGACGTTCGGGACCAGCCGGGCACCCCTGGAAAACCCACGACGAGGCGCAGCAGCCGGAAAATATTTTCCGAGGCGAGAAATCCTCGGAGAGCCGACCAAACACTCCTCCGAGCGCCAACGACACCTTCCCCCGACGGCAGACCTCGGCGACGAAGGGGGCCCAGAAGGGGTTGGACACTGGGCCCGGCAGCAAGTCCCACACGCTGCCGCGCAGCTCCGGCGTGCCGCCCACGGCCCGGAGCCACAGCGCGGTAAGGGCGCGCCGGAGGCTCAGGTTCCGCGTCAGCGAGCGGTCCACCTCCTCGAGAGGAGCCAAGCTGTGTCGCCCGACCGCGCCGAACGAGGCTTGGAGTTCGAGGATCTGCGTTCTGGAAGTTTTTTGTCCGTTGCCCTTGTCGGCCTTTCTGGGGTCTCCCTCGAGATTCTGGTCAGAGCTCACCCCTGGACGGGTCTGGGGGTCGATCTGTCCAGGTCACCCAACTTCGCGCTTCACGCCCCGCGCTGCGCGACGCGGGGTTATCTTCGCGCCCTCGCGCAGACCCCAGGGAGAACGTCAGCTCTCCGATACGGACCGGGGCGTGCGAAGCGAGATAATCTTCGCGCCCCCGCGGGTGACTTAGAACAATGGCGTAGGCATGAACTTTTGGAGGTCCGCGCGGATCGATTGGATCGAGGCTGGAGGCGCCGCCAGCGGGTTCCATCGGCGTGTGAAATGCTTCCCCCTCCTCAAACCCCTCCCTCAGGAGTCGGATCCGGTCGATTTTGAAGGGGGAGGGGTCCACCCGGGCCGGCCGGGCCGGCCGGGGGCGGTCCAGGGGGGGTACTTTGCTCAAGGAACTTTGCCGGGAGGGCACCGAGGGCTTCAAAACAGGCCACGAGGACCCCAAGAGACCTCCCAGACGGTCCAAGGGCCCCGAGTCGCCGAAACATCGTCCCAAGACGCCCAAGATGGCCTCCAGGCGACCCAAGATGCCTCCACCCCAAGAGGCTTCGAAGAGGCCTCCCAAGAAAGCCCCAAGAGGCCCGAATCGGTGAGTTGCATGGATTTTTGTCGAAAATGTTTGGCTTTCTCGTCAAGAAGCCCCCACGACCGCCACAAGACGGCCCAAGAGGCCCCCAAGAAGGCCCCAAGACGGCCCCAAGACGGCCCAAAAGGGCCGCAAGACGACCCAAGAGGGCCCCAAGAAGGCCTCAAGGGCCCAAGAAGGGGACCACGAACCGAAAATTCGAGCTCTCCGCCCCAAGAGGCCCCTGGGTGGCTCCAAAAGGCCCCCAAGGGGCCCCAGGAGACCCCCAAGAGGCCCAAAAGAGGCCCCAAGAGGCCCCTAAACAGCCCCCAGAGGCCTCCAAACTGCCTCGGGCAGGCCCCCGAGAGGCTTCTCACGATATCCCAACGAACATCCAAAAGGCCTCTGAACCACAACCCAGGCATGGTGGCGGGATGGACCGAAGGCCACTAGAGATCCGCCGCCCCCTGCTTGTAGGGGTGCACGGCGTGCTGGATGAGCTGTCAGGTTTTGGTTTTGGTTCTTTTTCCAAAAGAACTCCCCAGTGGGCTCCGGCAGAACCCGCCGGCCACCTGGAAAATCCCCAAACGTGCTCAACGACCGGAAAAAATCCTCCAAAAACGGCCGTTTCGCTCGGGACATCCTCAACAAATCGCGAAGATGGCCCAAGATGGCCTCCAAGTCCGCCCGAGATGGTCCAAGACGGCCTCCAAAACGGCCCAAGAGAGTCCAAGACGGCCCAAGACGGCCCAAGAGGCCCCCCAGAGGCCTCCCAGACGGCCCAAGAGGCCTCCAAGAGGTCCTCCAGGAGAGTCCGAAGAGGCCAAAATCATTGATTTTTCTTTGGTTTTTGAAGGATTTTGGCATTTGCGCCTTTTCGGCTCTCCGACGGCTCAAGACGGCCCAAGAAGCCCCCAAGATCGCCCAAGAGGCCCCCAAGAGAGCCCCATGATGGCCCAAGTGGCCTCCAAGATGGCCCCTAGAGGGCCCCAAGACGGCCCAAGAGGCCTCCAACACGCCCAAGATGGCCTCCAAGACGCCCAAGATGGCCTCCAAGACGGCCCTGGAGCGCCCCAAGAGGGTCCCCCGTTGGCCCAGAAAGGCCCCCAAAACGGCTCCCGACGGCGTCAGACGTGCCAGGAACCCACCAAGATGGCCGAAGTTGGCTCGAAGCTGGCCCAAAAGGGCCCAAGAGGCCCCCAAGAGGGCCTCCAGGAAGGCCAAAAGATGCCAAAATCACTGATTTTCTCAAGGTTTTTGATGGATTTGGGCATTTCCCTTTTTTCGGCCTTCCGACGGCCCGAGACGGCCCAAGAGCCCCCAAAGATCGCCGAAAGATCGCCCAAGAGGCCTCCAAGACGGCGACGATGACCATCAAGACGCCCACGAATCCCCAAACGTGCTCAACGACCGGAAAAAATCCTCCAAAAAACGGCCGTTTCGCTCGGGACATCCTCAACAAATCGCGAAGATGGCCCAAGATGGCCTCCAAGTCCGCCCGAGATGGTCCAAGACGGCCTCCAAAACGGCCCAAGAGAGTCCAAGACGGCCCAAGACGGCCCAAGAGGCCCCCCAGAGGCCTCCCAGACGGCCCAAGAGGCCTCCAAGAGGTCCTCCAGGAGAGTCCGAAGAGGCCAAAATCATTGATTTTTCCTTGGTTTTTGAAGGATTCTGGCATTTGCGCCTTTTCGGCTCTCCGACGGCTCGAGACGGCCCAAGAAGCCCCCAAGATCGCCCAAGAGGCCCCCAAGAGAGCCCCATGATGGCCCAAGTGGCCTCCAAGATGGCCCCTAGAGGGCCCCAAGAGGGCCCAAGAGGCCTCCAACACGCCCAAGATGGCCTCCCAGACGCCCAAGATGGCCTCCAAGACGGCCCTGGAGCATTCCAAGCGGGCCCCAAGTCGGCCCATAGAGGCCCCCCAAACGGCTTCCGACGGCTTCAGACGTGCCAGGAACCCACCAAGATGGCCGAAGTTGGCTCGAAGCTGGCCCGAGACGGCCCAAAAAGCCCCAAAGATCGCCCAAAGCTTGCCCAAGAGGCCTCCAAGACGGCCAAGATGACCTTCAAGATGCCCACGTGTTCCCCGAAGGCTTTCCAAACCGATTCGGGGAACACGTGGTCCGATAGCTTGGCAGGTCTGGCCTCAACGTTCGGCCACATAGGCGCTTCCAAAAAGGCAGGGGGCGGCGGTGATTCGCCGTAGGCGTCTTCGATAATTATAGCCGGAGTGCAGTATCCCCAAACAGGGTTTTTAAACCCACTGCGGTTTCCAAGGTCGATTGCGTGCCCGTCCAGTGCGGGCTGGCATGGCATGTTAGAACATGCCTCCTCCTCCTCCTCCTCCTCCTCCTCCTCCTCCTCCTCCTCCTCCTCCTCCTCCTCATCCCGAACGGCATCTCGGAGCCCAGAGTTGCGAGGATGTCTCCAGCGTAACGGACTGGACCACCTCGCGCGCGGCCTCTCGGACCCCAGAGGTGCGACGATGTCTCGGGCGAAACATGCTGCGAGGAAGTATCAGGCGAAACGGGCCGGACCACCTTGAGCGCGGCGTCTCAGAGCTCCGAGTTGCGGGAGCCTCCTGGGGCCTCCTGGGGCCTCCTGGTGACCTCCTGGGGCTTCCTCCTGGGCCTCCTGTGGCCTCCTGGACCCCACCTGGGGCTTCCTGAAGTCTCTTGGGGCTCCCAGGAGGGGATATCTAACATGTGGCCATCGGGCCCCCCCCAAAATGGGGGGGCCACAAGAGCAGGAAAAATCAACGAATCGACACCAAATGTGTATTAACTTGACACGTACTGATAGGGGGCCTCCTGGGGCCTCCTGGGAGCCTTCTGGGAATCTCCTGGGGAGACCTGGGGCCTGTCCTGGGCGTCCTGCGGCCTCCTGAAGCTCCTCTCTGGGGCCTCCTGGGGCTCCCAGGGTCCCAGGGGGATGTGTAAATTGTGATCTTCTGGGCCCCCAGGCTGGACCACCTCTTGGGCGGCATCTGGGAGCTCAGAGTTGCGAGAATGTCTTGTGCGAAACGGGCCGGACCACCTTGCGCACGGCATCTCAGAGCTCAGAGTTGCGAGGATGTCTCAGGCGAGACGGGCCGGACCACCTCGCGCAGGGCATCTCAGCTTAGAGTTGCGAGGATGTCTCAGGCGAAACGAGCTGGACCACGTCGCGCGCGGCATCTCCGAGGTCAGAATTGCGAGGATGTCTCGGGCGAAATGGGCTGGACCGCCTCTCGCGCGGCACCTCAGAGCTCAGAGTTTGGAGGATGTCTCAGGCGAAACGGGCCAGACCACCTCGCGCGCGGCATCTCAGAGCTCAGAGTTGCGAGGACGTCTCAAACGAAACGGGCCGGACCACCTCTGCGCGGCATCTCGGAATGCAAAAGTGCGAAGATGTCTCAAGTGAAACGGGCCGGACCACCTCTTGGGCGGCATCTCGGGACTCAGAGTTTGGAGGATGTCTCAAGCGAAACGGGCCAGACCATCTTTCGCGCGGCATCAGAGAGCGCAAAATTGCGAGGATGTTTCAGGCAGAACGGGCCAGACCACCTCGCGCACGGCATATCAGGGCTCAGAGTTTGGAGGATGTCTCAGGCGATACGGACCGGACCACCTCTCGCGCGGCATCCTGGAGCTCAGAGTTCGGAGGATGTCTCAAGCGAAACGGGCCGGACCACCTCGCGCGCGGCATCCGGGAACTCAGAGTTTGGAGGATGTCTCAGGCGAAACGGGCCGGATCACCTCTTGCACGGCATCTGGGAACTCAGAGTTTGGAGGATGTCTCACGCGAAACGCCCAATCCTGGACAACTCAGAAACGAGAGCTGCGAGGATGTCTCAGGCGAAACGGCCCGGACCACCAAATTATTTTGAGGACGTCTCTGCTTTGAATTCCCTTGGCCGGAAGCCACGCAGCACCAAGAAGTCGCAACAGCGACTCTCCCCCAAGGGGTTGGCGGTGCGGCGTAAGCCGAAGAATCATAAGAAATCCGCGCGGACCTCCGAACATTTGCACTTGTGTAGTTTTCTGCTTTTCGACGCCTCGCGGCTCGCGACGAGCTCGAAGTCGCCGTTGATGGCGAAGGCAAACCCTAGGTCCTCGGGGGCGCGCGCAAAGAAAGGGGGTGGCGCGAGGGGGGGGGGGGGCCTTCTGAGAAGGCGCGGTGCCCCTTGGAGGGCAGGGGGCCCTGGTCAGAAGGGCCCCGAGGCTTCCAGGATGCCCTCTCGGAAGCTGGGAGGGCTTCTGAGGAGCCCCCTGCCCTCTCCCGAGCCAGTCACCTGACTTCGCGCCCTCGCGCCCCACGATGCACGACGCGCGATCGTCTTCGCGCCCTCGCGCCCTCGCGTCGCCCTCGCGGCGCCCGCTCGGGGAAGGACAACCGCTCTGGCCCAGACCTTGACGCGCGAGGCGCGATCGTCTTGACCGACCGTGGGGGGGACCTGGACTCTCAGGAGCCGTCCAGGCTTCTCAGGGGAGGGACCAGTTCAGGGCGGGGCAACATCAGCCTGGAATCGGCAATGCGTCGCCGATAGATTGGCGATAGGCCCCCGATTGCGAAACTGCACGGTCCTGGGTGGGGCTGGCTATCGTTCCCAGTCGGCGATCAATAAGCGATCGCGGGTCGATGTACCTCCCCCCCTGAGCCTCGTTCCTCCCCCAACGTTGCCCCTGACCCCAACGACTCTCGGGCCAGGAGTCGGGTCTCCCGCTCGGCGAGGCGCAACTGCTGGGGAGCGCCCCGCGGCGGAACCCATAGGAGCTGGCGAAAACGTCCGAAAACCCCGAATAGCTGACATGAGCGCAGAGGGACGTACTAATACCATGCGCCCCCCTTGGAGGCGCACGTCCGATCAGAACACGTAGTACAAACATCTTGGAGTCTTAGAGCACATCGTTATCAAGATGGTATGGCCAGAGAGCGCACCACCGAGCACATATGATCAAGACCCCGCCGCCCCACCCCACACCATGCTGATGGCATCGCCCCCCCCTCCCACGATGGGTCCCCCCCCCCTTCCTGTGGGTGTGGTGTGGTGCTGTGGGTGTGGCGTGTGTGGCGTTGTGCTGTGGTGCTCCAGGAGAGCTCCTGAGGTGGTCGTCGTCGTCGTCGTCGCCGCCGCCGTCGTCGTCGTCAGAGGGCTCCAGAGGTCGGCGCCGCCGCCACCGCCGCCGCCGTCGCCGTCGTCTCGTCGTCTCGTCGTCGCCGTCGTCGTCGTCGTCGTCGCATGTCGTCGTCGTCGTTGCCGCCATCGTCGTCGTCGTCGTCGTCGTCGCCGCCATCGTCGTCGTCGTCGTCGTCGTCGTCGTCGCATGTCGTCGTCGTCGCCGCTGCCGTCGTCGTCGTCGTCGTCGTCGTCGTCGTCGCATGTCGTCGTCGTCGTCGTCGTCGTCGTCGCCGCCGTCGTCGTCGTCGTCGTCGTCGTCGTCGTCGTCGTCGTCGTCGTCGTCGTCGTCGTCGTCGTCGTCGTCGTCGCATGTCGTCGTCGTCGCCGCTGCCGTCGTCGTCGCATGTCGTCGTCGTCGTCGTCGTCGTCGTCGTCGTCGTCGCATGTCGTCGTCGTCGTCGTCGTCGTCGTCGTCGCCGTCGTCGTCGTCGTCGCATGTCGTCGTCGTCGTCGTCGTCGTCGCCGTCGTCATCGTACCCCCCATCCCACCTGGGGGGAGGGCCGTGGAGTCCTGGGACCCATCCCATCTGGGGGGGGGGCCCGTGGGCCCTCGACCCGGGGATCATATCTTCTAAGATTTCTGAGCGCGGGCGTCGCCCCTGAGGTGCCGACGCACACAGAACTGGAACAAGCAACGACATAAACAGAAAAACTCGGAGGTCCGCGCGGATTTCTCGGATCGGCGCTGGGCCCCCCTCCCTGGCGCGCGGAGCGCGCCACTGGCGTCGCCAGAGGCGCCGGCAGGGGCGCCAGCGCATAACTAGAAGCATGTTTAGGTGATGCCGACGACAGGTTTCTTAGAACAGAGAACAGAGAGCAGAACACCCACCGTCGTTACAAGCACCCCGACAAGCTCAACCGCTCAGTAAGCGCACCCAGGGGAGGAATCGAACAGGGCAGGGCTGTTTAGGAAAAACGCCCAGGGCTGGCTCATCAAGGTCGATTCGTAGTGAGGCGGGGTGGCTTATCCTCGCTTGCAAGCAAGGCCGCCCACCCCTCGAGGCTCGGCGGAGAGCGAGGGGGGGAAGCGAGAAAGGGCGGGCCTTCTCGGAAGGCTCGGAGGTCCCTCGGCCTTCTGGGAAGCTCTGGCCTTCCCCGAAATCGCAGCAGCCCTCTGAGAAGGCTGGAGGGCTGCCGAGAAGGCCCGTCGCAGTCTGAGAAGGCCTCCTCCTCCTCCTCCTCCTCCTCCTCCCCCCGCGCTCGCCGCCGAGCAGCCTCCCCCTCAGGTGCGCGCCGCCCAGGGGTCCGCCACGGGCAGCGTGACGCACAGCGGCAGTGCGCCGTGGCCACCGAGGCGGCCCGGCAGCGCGTCCGCCGCGTCCTCCCGGGCGGCGCCCGCCGTCTCGGACACCCTGTGGGGCCGGGTGCCGCCAGAAGTGGTGCGGGCCCAGGGCGCTCCCAGCACTTCGCGCCACGGAAGCGGCGCAAAGGAAGAGGTCTTACGCGAGATGGCATGGCGACCCCTCGCCGCGGCTTGCGCAGTGCTCCCAGCGCTTCGCGCCACTCGAGCGACGAAGAGAAAGAGGGTCTTGCGCGAGATGGCATGGCGACCTCTCGCCGCGGCCGACGCGGGCCGCCAGCGCGGCACGCTTGAATTGGAGACGAAGGCGCGCTCACGCGCGACCTTGCGCAATGTCGGCGCAGGCGGCTCCGTTTTCTTTCGTTGCTCATTGCTGGAGCCCCTGCGGGCCCTCTGGGCCTCGTGAGCCGGGGGCGTCCAAGAGGGCGGGTTCGCACGGCATGGTCCGAGGCATGTTCGCGGCCCAGCGAGGGGAAGGGGGGGGGGCAGGGGAGATATGTCATGGCCCTGGCCATGACATCCACCCCCTCCCTGGTCATCACCCCCGTCTTGGCCGCCTCCGAGCGAGGCGTGCTCTGGAGGCCGCCTGGGCCTCTCTGGAAATCTTCGGAACACGCTGGGCCAAGGGCACCTGTGGCAAGCATGGGGGAAGTGGGTCCTGAGGGAAACGGGTCCTTGACCCCGGGGCCTTTTCCCCAGGATGAGAAATCTTCCTCCAGAGTCACTTCCTGACAGTCCTGGAGCCCGCGGAGGGCCCAGAGGGCCCGAAAACCGCGAGAAACCTCAGGACCCGTTTACCTGAGGACCCGTTTCCCCAATCTGGCCATCGCTCGGACGTCCATTCCCTGTGCATTTGTCGGTTTCGCGCGTGCTTTTTTCGCAAGGTGACCTCACGTGCTCCTCGATGGTCCTCTCCTAGGAAAGATGCACACGTCCGAGCGATGCCAAGCCATGGCGATTGGCAGCAGCCGACCTGGCCGGGGCGCGGCGCGGGAAGGCGGCCTCCACCACGCCGTCGGCGGTGACGCTGCGGAACAGGAGGAACCTGCGGGGCTCGGGCTTCGAGGGCCTGCACGGGGGCGCTGCTCGCCCTCTCGCTCGGAGGCCTAGAGGTGGACACCACCACCAAGTTAGGTATCGGCGGTGTGCCTCCACCGAGGGAGGATGATCCCGATCCTGGTGATGGTGGCAATACTCGGGCTTCCCAGGTGAGCGACGATCAAAAACAGGTCTTACGCGAGATGGCACAGCGACCTTACGCGGCGGCTTACGCGGGCCGCCAGCACGCCACGCTACATTGGAGGCGAGGGCGCTAACGCGCGACCTTACGCGGGCAGCTCGCGCGCCAATGTCGGCGCAGACGACCATGTTTTCTTCGTGTCGCTCGGGTGGCCGAAAGATTACCACCAACACCGAAATCTAGGGTCATCCTCCCCCTGTGGACGCACCCCCCCGCTCTGGTGTTGGTGCCCACGTCCGAGCCTCCAACTCGCTGCGCCTCTCTGGGGGAGAGGCTCCTCGTGTGGCCAGCCAGCTGGGTCCGCGCCATACTTCTGGTCAGAACGCGCCCGTCAATCAGACCGGGGCCCTCTGATCGTGGACCCCCACGATCCCGAATATTCGGCGCGTCGAAACAATCGAGGCTTACGATGTTCCGACCTACTTTAGCCTTGATCGCCAGGAAGGATTTCGAGCACCAAGAAAGCTTCCCAACCGGAATGATGTCACGTGTCGGGCCCTGGGAGGCGATATTCAGCCGACACTTCGCTAGCGTGTTGGGCAGACACTGTTTCGATACTCTTCCGGGTGTTCGAAATTATTTCTGTGATGTGGTCCATAAGTACGATGGGAACAACATAAATCGAGGCGGCCGCTTTGTCGCAAAACTGACGGCTGCTGGATGCCAACTTCGTCCGCGGGCCTAGCCGAGAGAGAAGCTACTTCCTGGACGAGCCCCTCGCCCTCGAGGCTCCCTTCTGGCCGCCTGCCCACGTCTTGGATCGAGGCGAGGGGGTCGTCACGTCGGCGACACGCAGGAGTGACCCTGGGTAAGAGTGACCCCTGGTGCGCGGCTTCCTGGGTGCCGCGGGGAGGGGGGGGGGGGGGGCAAACGCAAGCGCGCAAGACGCTGCTACCGCAGCGCGCTCAGCGATCGGGGGGGCCCTGTGGGCCCGCACCAGAAAGGTCACTCTGGCGAACGGTCACTCTCACACGTGCCGTCGAGTCACGGAAGGGGTCGCTTTGCCAGGGGTCGGCCAGGACGCCCCTGGAACCCGGAGGGGGGCGGGGGGGTGGGGGGCCAAGCGGCGGGAGGAGCACCCGGGCCGCCTCGCCTCGAGCGCAGCACCTTCGGGGTGCGCGTCGCGCGCGGCGGTCCTGGCGAAGGGGAAGCTGGGCCGCTTCGCTTCGCGCACCGCGCCCACGCGGTGCGCGCCGCGCGGTGGTCTTCGCGCACTTGCGCCGTCCCCCCCCCCCCCGGACCCCTGCCCACAGGCCGCATCGCGCGAAGCGCAACTATCTTCGTGCCCCTGGGGGCGAACAGGGACAATGGGCAAGAGGAGGGGGGGGAAGCAGGCACAATTGAGGTTGTTCGTTGTTTCGGATGTCGGCTCGTCCTTCTCAAGGGACGACGACCGCTTCTTCCGCGACGACTTTTTCGCGACGACTTCTTCAGGAAGATCTTTTTCCCGGAAGAAGTCGCCTGGAAGAACTCGTCGCGGCAGAAGTCGTCTTCGGAAGAAGTGGTCCAGAAGAAATCGCCCAGAAGAAATCGTCCAGAAAACTCGTCTAGACATAGATTCTTCTCGTGAGATATCGGTGCGGCGGAAACAGAGGAGGAGGGATAGGAGGATGAGGACGACAAAGAAGGCGTTCGGAAGAAGGCGTTCGGAAGAATTGGTTCGGAAGAAGTCGTTCGGAAGAAGTCGTCCGGAAGAAATCGTCTCGGAAGAGACCGTCCGGAAAATTTCGCCCAGAAGAAGTCGCCCGGAAGAAGTCGTCTGGAAGAAACCGTCCAGAAGAAACCGCCTGAAAGAAGTCGCCCAGAAGAGGTCGTCCGGAAAAAATCGCCCGGAAAAAGTCGTCCGGGAGAAATCGTCCAGAAGACGTCGTTCGGAAGAAGTCGTCCGGAAGAAATCGACCAGAGGTTCGCATTTCGCCACTGCGTCCATTTCGGCACACCCCTCGCACGCTTCGCGGCCCCAGTGGGAGTTCCGCCGAAGGCCTTCGCAGCTACCGCACTTATTCTCTTGCACAGGGTGTCTAGAGCTCCGACCACTTTATTTCGGCGTCGTCGTCGCTCCCCCCCCAGCTGCCTTGTGCCCTTCATGTGTCGCTATATGTGTCGCTGTGTGCCTTGTGCCCTTCATGTGCCGCTATATGTGTCGCTGTGTGTCGCTATGCGTCTCCATGTGTGCGTCGCTATGTGTCGCTGTGTGTCGCTATGCGTCGATATGTGTGCGTGTGTCGATATATGTCTCTATAAGTCGATATGTGTCGACATGTGTCGCTATGTGTCGCTCCCCAGCACCCCGGCGCACCGCCCCCTCCGCCCCGACGACTTTGTTTCGGCGTCGTCGTCGCCCGCCCCCCCCCCCCCTCTCCCTCTCCTCAGCAGCCCAGCGCGCTGCCCCCTCCGCCCCGACCACTTTATTTCGGCGTTGTGTCGACATGTGTCGCTATGTGTCGCTCCCCAGCACCCCAGCGCACCGCCCCCTCCGCCCCGACGACTTTATTTCGGCGTCGTCGTCGCCCCCCCCCCTCTCCCTCTCCTCAGCAGCCCAGCGCGCTGCCCCCTCCGCCCCGACCACTTTATTTCGGCGTTGTGTCGACATGTGTCGCTATGTGTCGCTCCCCAGCACCCCAGCGCACCGCCCCCTCCGCCCCGACGACTTTATTTCGGCGTCGTCGTCGCCCCCCCCCCCCCCCTCCCTCTCCTCAGCAGCCCAGCGCGCTGCCCCCTCCGCCCCGACCACTTTATTTCGGCGTCGTCGTCGCCCCCTCACCCAGCGCACCGCCCCCTCCGCCCCGACCACTTTATTTCGGCGTCGTCGTCGCCCTATTTCGGCGTTGTGTCGACATGTGTCGCTTTCCCCAGCAGCCCAGCGCACCGCCCTCTCCGCCCCGACCACTTTATTTCGGCGTCGTCGTCGCCCTATTTCGGCGTTGTGTCGACATGTGTCGCTATGTGTCGCTCCCCAGCACCCCAGCGCGCACCGCCCCCTCCGCCCCGACGACTTTATTTCGGCGTCGTCGTCGCCCCCCCCCCCTCTCCCTCTCCTCAGCAGCCCAGCGCGCTGCCCCCTCCGCCCCGACCACTTTATTTCGGCGTCGTCGTCGCCCCCCCGGTCCTTTTCCCCAGCATCCCAGCGCGCCGCCCCTCCGCCCCGACCACTTTATTTCGGCGTCGTCGTCGCCCCCCCCCCCCCCATCCCCCTCTCCCCAGCAGCCCAGCGCGCCGCCCCCTTCGCCCCGACCACTTTATTATCTTGCACAGCTGTGCTCTAGAGCTCGGACCTCTTTATTTTCGTTCGTTCGTCGTCGTCCCCGGCCCCTGGTCCGGTCCCGACCCTAAACCCAACCTCCCCACCCCGTCCTGGCCTCAGCCCCCCTCGCCCCGCTGGCTCTGGCCCTGGACCCAGCCTCCTTCCCACCCGGCCCTGGCCCCAGTCCCCCTCGCCCTGGACCCTTTATTTTCGCTCGTCGTCGTCCCTGGTAGGGTCCTGGCCCTGGACCCAACCTCCCCCCTGGTCCTGGCCCCAGCTCCCGTCGCCCCGCTGGCCCAGGGCCTGGACCCAGCCTCCCCCCCGCCGGCCAGCCCCCCTCGCCCTGGACTTTTATATTTTCGTTTGTCGTTGTCCCTCTGGTCCCGGCCCTGGACCCAACCTCCCCACCTGGCCCTGGCCCCAGCCCCCGTCGCCCCGCTGACCCTGGCCCTGGACCCAGCCTCCCCCCCGGCTCTGGCCCCAGCCCACATGTTAGATATCCCCCCTTTTTTATAAAAAAACTGGCGATGGCATGCGCAATCATGTTACCGCCGTCCCGCGAGCACTGCGCAAACCAAATTGGCGTTCGAGCTCCACTCGTGCCAAAAACGTACTCCAAGTGTCTTAATGAGCGCGGTGCAGCCAGCGCGCGCCGAAGGTGCTTCGACCCCCGTAGCGGCGCGACGACGAAGCACATGTTAGATATCCCCCCTTGGGAGCCCCAAGAAGCTTCAGGAAGCCCCAGGTGGGGTCCAGGAGGCCACAGGATGAGAGGACACCGAGTCAGGAATTGCCAGGGGGCCTTCACACGACGGCAACCCCAGAGCCCACTCGAAATGATCAAGCGGACCCAAGCCGCAGAGCACAGAACTCTGCAGAAAACTATGCACACAATCCCTCACTCCAGCTACGCCTGGATTCGCGGGATATTCGCAGAGAAACTCGCGCGCGCCAGTTTGACCGATCAAATTGCGGTCGCCCTGGGCGCATTCTTCAAATGCGCCAGACCCGCCATCAAAATGGGCAGAGTCTGAGGCCGAGCTGGACGGGCTTACATCGCGAAAAGAAGCAGCTCACTTCTTCTTCCAGCCTCCGTGCTGGCGCCCGTGCTGTCCCCAGGAGGCCCCAGGAGGCCCCTGCAACTCGGAGCTCTGAGACGCCGCGCTCGAGGCGGTCCGGCCTGTTTCGCCTGAGACTTCCTCGCAGCACGTTTCGCCCGAGACATCGTCGCAACTCTGGGGTTCTAGATGCCGCGCGCGAGGTGGTCCAGCCCGTTACGCTGGAGACATCCTCGCAACTTTGGGCTCCGAGATGCCGTTCGGGATGAAGAGGTGGATGAGGAGGAGGCGGAGGAGGAGGAGGAGGAAGGAGGAGGAGGAGGCATGTTCTAACATGCCATGCCAGCCCGCACTGGACGGATACTGCACTCTGGCAAAAATTAATGTGGAAAGCAAATCGCCCCAAATCCGCCTGTAGGAGGAAATGCCCGACCTAATCATAGTCTCCGCCTGGAGGATTAGTTTTCGGAGACCTCGACGGGTGGTGGCTATCGGCATGTGTCGGCCCCCCCGGGCTCCAACTCTACATCCATGTCCGCCGCCCGCTGGGGTCCCCGGAACGTCGGCTCCACAGGCGGTGGATCTGGATAGATTCCCGCCTCGCATTCGTCGGGGCTCACGAGACGGGGGTCAATGCAAACGGGGGTCAGCCCTTTATTTTCGCTCGTCGTCGTCCCTGGCAGCTGGTCCGGTCCTGGCCCTGGACCCAACTCCCCCCCTTGCTGGACCCTTTGTTTTCGTTCGTCGTCCCTGGTCCGACTCTGGCCCTGGACCCAACCTCCCCACCTGGTCCTGGCCCCGTGGAGCCCCCCTCGCCCCGCTGGGTCCCTGGTCCGGTCCTGACCCTGGACCCAACCTCCCCCCCTGGTCCTGGCCCCAGCTCCCCTTGCCCCGCTGGCCCAGGGCCTGGACCCAGCCTCCCCCCCGCCGGCCCTGTCCCCAGTTTCCATCGCCCTGGATCCTTTATTTTCGTTTGTCGTCGTCCCTCTGGTCCTGGCCCTGGACCCTGCCTCCTCCCCTGGCCCTGGCCCCCCGCCTCCCTTGCCCCGCTGGCCCTGGCCCTGGACCCAGCCTCCCCCCCCCCGGCCCTGGCCCCGGTCCCCCTCGCCCTGGACCCTTCGTTATCTTGCGCAGCTGTGTTCTAGAGCTCGGACCTCTTTATTTTCGCTCGTCGTCGTCGTTCGTTCGTCGTTCGTCCTCCCCCCGGCGGCCACAAAAATAATCTCCTGGAGGAAGGAGGCGAAAGCCTCCTGTTTCTCGCGGCTCCTTAGTGCAAGAGCCAGGGCACGCGTGCCATTTGTATTAATTTACAAGGGTTTATGGCTTCGGTGGCGTTGATATCAAGTAATTTATTTGTGGCCTCATAGAGAGCTCCGCCGAAGGTCCTGGTGGCGGGTTCGCATGGCGCCACCGCGCCCATTTCGGCATACCCCTCACACGCTTCGAGACTCCATAGGGAGCTCCACCGAAAATCACAGTGGCAGGGTTCGCATATGCCTGACCGCGCCCATGTCGGCACACCCCTCACACGGTTCGTGGCCTCTGGCGGGCGCCGCCCAATGCCCCACTGGCGGGGTTCGTATGGCGCCGCGCCACCGCGCCCATGTCGGCACACCCGTCGCACGCTCCGTGGCCCAATTGGGAGCTCCACCGAAGGCCCTTCTGGCAAGGTTTGCATGGCGCCACCGCACTCATGTCGGCACACCCCTGACGCGTTTTTCTTGGCCCCATTTGGGGCTCCGCCGAAGGCCTCCGTGGCAGTGTTCGCATGGCGCCGCCAGGCTCATGTCGGCACACCCCTCACACGTTTCGTGGCCCCGTAGGGAGCTCCGCCGAAGGCCCCAGTGGAGGAGGGCGGGGGGCGCGGGGAGGAACGGGGCACTGGCGCGGAGACGGGCAGCGCCGGGAGCACCCTCGGGACAGCAGCGAGAGGGGCGGGCGCAGCGGAGGCTGGAGGCATCCAGTTTCTGTGGATCTCGAGCCGCTCGATGAGAGTCATCTTTGTCGAGTGGTCTTCTGTTGCTGCCGATGGTGAGGAGAAGGAGGAGGAGGAGGAGGAGGAGGAGGAGGGCACGTCGGCCTCGAGTCATCGTCGTTCAAAATAGATTCCTGTGTCTAACCGCATACGGTCCGGCTTTGAAAACCCCTGCACAACTATGCAATTAGCGAACAAGCTGCACAAGCTGCGGAACAAATCTGGCAAAAAAGGCACGGCCGCGGGCCAGCACCAGCACCACGAGCGACAGCAGAAGGTATCCAGAAGACAATCAATACTGCTTGTCGGCCTTACGCTGTACAGAGCGTTAGTCTTCCCACGCGCAGCGCGAAACGCAAGCTGAAGGGGAAGAATTCGGAGACAATGACCAGGATTGAACGTGGAAACGTCATGTCGATCTTGGCTACCGTCCGCCTTGGTCAGCGTAAAAATTCGTGGATCATCCTGGCGAGATCGGCGACAGCCGACGTGGACCATGACCAAGGTCGGCATCGAAAAAATCTCGCGACGTCGTGGTCATGGTCCCCGTGCCCCTTCCCTCGCCAGGCGGCGGGGGCCGACGGTGCAACAAATTGACGAGGAGCGGCGCGCACGCGGGGGGGTCGCAGCGGCAGCACCAACACGGCCCGCGGAGCCCGCAGGGCCAGGGCCTGGCACGGCACGGGCCCGTTCGCGTTGGGCCCTCTGGCCGCGTGGACCCTGCGAGGTCTGCCCCCGCTGGTTCTGCCGACGGCAGCCAGCTCCCACGGGGCTCGGCGCAAGAGCCTGGACAGGGATCCTCCTCCTCCACCTCACCAACCGCCAGCATCCTCCCTCCGTCCACCCTCCCCTCCTCCCGCGCCTCGCCGTCCTCGGCGAGGCGGCTCGAGCAGCATGCAGCCCCGTGGGCTCGGCGGCTCAGGCGAGGAGGGAGGGAGGGAAGGAGGCCCAAACTGATGGGGAAGGAGAAGCCCGAGGAATGACATTGCAGAATGGCTCCGGCGAGAGCGGCCCTCGGCGGTGGACAAACCTCCCTTTAGTAGACCTCCCCTTAGTGATTCCTGAATCGACGTGTCAGGGTAGGAGGTCTGTCCAACCCCGAGGCCCGGGTAATTATAGAAGCAGAACGCTGGCAGCCGCGTTCAAATTGACTCAGACGTCTACTCCGGCTGCCCCACCTCCTTGTGGTTGGTGTCTTCATCATCAGCAGCTTCATAAGCATCACCCGATGCCTCGGACTGACTTGGACGTGTCGACTGCTGCGATGTCTTCGACGATCCTCCCGAGATGTGCCGCACCATCTCGATGCCTCGCGAAGGCCTCTCCGAAGTGTACCTCCTGAGCCTGGACGCGATGGCCTGTGCCTCCGCCACGACGAGGGACTCCCGAGTGCCTGCGAAAAAGGGCAACGCCAGGCTGGATAACAAGGGCGCAATCGACGTTTCGATCTGCTCGACGTCGGCGCCAATGATCACCGAAAGCCTCTTCTGGATCGGGCCCAAGACCTCCGGCACGGGGAACTGGAAGTCCGCGCTGCGCGTCGACATCAGGTAGGGTTCGGTGCCGTAGTTCGAGCGCACGGCAAGCAACGTTCGCACGAAGTCCTCGGAGCGGAACGCGTCCTTCGTGAGGCTGACGATGACCGCTTTGGGCAATCGGTCCTGTCTCAGGTCCCTGCCCGAAACCGCGACCAGTGTGTGCCACTGCATCTGGGCGCGGATCATGATGGCGAGCACCTGCGCAGAGGACACCGCCTCGCCGTCGTCACCGTTCGCGACCACCACCACCTCGGCCATGACGGGGTCCCCGACGAGGGATGGCCTGCTGCCTGACGTTTCCTTCCTGCCGGCGTGGAGGAACCTCGTAATTGTCTCCTGCACCATGTGGTCGAGGTCGATCTGTGGACTGACCGACGATCCCGCGCGCTTCCACGCGATCTTATCCTGCTTGCGCAGGGACAGGTACGCCTCGCGGACCGTCTCGAAGGTAACGCCCTCCAGGGCCATCGGCGCGAACTGCTCGACGCTCCAGCGCTCGCTCAGGCTCTTGAGCGTGAGGTCCTGATCGGAAGGCTCCAGGTAGCCGTCCGAGGAGAGGCAGATGATTGGCGTGGAGTTGGTGTGCGCGACGGCGATCTCGCCCGCACACCAGGGCCGCCAGAGTGTCTCGGTGGTGAGCATCACGACCAAGCACTCCGTCCCGTTGCGCACCGTGTCCAGGACGGAATCCAGGTCGTCGAGCTCGTCGGAGTCCAAGAAGACCCGTTTGCCAGTGCGCCGGGACAGTTCCATCTTGGCCAGGCGCGCCCCTGCCGCCATCCCAAGCTTGTGGTGGGACAGGAATATTCCGTAAGTCTTCGCGGAAGCCAGCGTGCTCCTGTAGACCAGCTGCCCCACGAAGATGACATGCCAATCACGACGACCAAAAGGATGACCTGCAGATCTTTCGTGACATCGTCGACGTCGACATCCACAAGGATCCCGGCGACCATGAGGGCGAGGATGAAGTTACCCATCAACAGAGCCTCCATGAGATTGGGGGTTCCCCCGCGCCACGGCTTGAGAGAGCAAGAGAGCAGGCCGAAGAAAACGAACATGCCGGCCAGAACAATGACCTGCAGGTGGGCGAAGTTGACGAAGATCACGGGGACCAAGGCCATCAGGAAATTCCTGAAGAAGAAGATCGGCCCGTAGTAGTAGCGCTCAACCGTGAATCGCTGGAACAAAAAACGATACCTCGTCAGTATGGTGCTGGCATGGCCCGAAGCAACGATTGAGGGGTACATGAGCGTCACATAGGTGACAAGCGCCATTGGCGTAACAGAATAAACGAGCAGACCAATCACTGCGAGCACGACGAGAGTGACGAACTCGCCATTATCATCACAGATAACCGAGGGGTTCGACGCTATTGATTGCGTCCCGTTCGGGCTGTCTGCGCACATGAAGGGACTGACAACCGCGAGGGTCACAGCTAGGAACAGTACCATCATGATTAGGCCCACCGAATTCATAACCTGGTCCTTGTCAAGCGTGAGGCCCTTGTACCTGGAGTGAATGTACATCATGAGCACGAGGCAACCCGCCAGCACGGGGAGGCACATCAGCCTCGACGCGAAGACGACAACCTCGTTAGACGTCTCCAGGAAGCACCCGATCTTCAGGTATTCGAAGTTGAAGGAAAAGACAGCGGCAAACTTCACCACCGAGGAGAAAGGCTCGACCCAGACGACGTCGAGCCCCTGGAAGACGGAGAACCACTGGATAACGATCACGAACTGGCCGCAGATCGCGAGGCCCACCACCATGTTGACGCTCGTCTTCGTCACGTCAACGGTGGAGAAGTACACCATGAGGCAGCCGCCCACAAGCAGCAGCAGAATGGCGAAGACGAAGGGCACGTAGTCCGCGCTCTCGCACATCTTGCACGTGGGGCCGCCCGAGGTGGGCACGTGGCCCGCGAGGCAGACGGCGCAGCCCACGGTGTCCGGGTCGCGGCCGTCCGCGCAGGTGCCCACGGGCCCCCCGGGGCACTGCTCCTTGTCGCGGCAGCGGTAGACGCTGTAGCTCCGATCCTCATCGTCCGAGAGGTGCGCCCACATGCCCGGCAACAATGTCGGGGGCCCCGTGCCAGCCGCACAGGCCATGCCGCTCGGGCACGGGAAGCACTCGTCACCGCTGGCGCTGAGGAAGGTGTCCGCGGGGCAGCTGCACGGGAAGTCCGCGGGCCCAGTCCTGCTGTACACCATGCCCGCGGGGCACTCCCGGCACGACTCGTTGTCCTGCTGCTTGAACTTACCCTCGGAGCAGATGCACTGCGCCGACATCGTGGACCCCAGGAACTGGGTGGTCATCTCGGAGCCGTCGAAGTCGGTGCACTGCAGGCACTCGCTCTGGCCCACCCCGGGCTGGTACCTGCCCACCGGACAGTTGGTGCACTCCGACTGGCCCTCCTGCGCCATGAACCGGCCCTGCTCGCAGTCCTGGCAAACTTTGCGGCCCCGCTCCCCGGCCACCCGGCCCACCGTGCAGTTGCCGCACTCCAGGGCGCCCAAAGACTCCACGGCCGAGCCCACGGGGCAGAGGTCGCACTCCGCCTGCCCCGGCAAGGCTGCGAACGTGCCGGCGGCGCACGGGTAGCACTCCGCGAAGCTGCTGGACCGGCTCCTGCCCATCTGGCACTGGATGCACTCGGCGATGTCGCCAGCGACCGGCGGGCTGGAGGTGCCGTGGTCGACGAAGTGGTTGGCCGCTCGCTCCAGCCCCACCTTCATCATGGTAAATGAGTCGATGTACACGCCTTCGGAGCCGCAGTAGGAATTGATGAAGTCGGTTCTCGCCTCCGACCACGAACGGGCCGGCCACCTTGGGAGCATCCCATCCGCAGCCGTCCATGAGTCTGGAACCTTGTCGACAGGAATAGCTGGCACCTGCACGAACGACCCTCCGCCACCCAACTGGGTCTGCACCTGAATCAGGGGCATATCCTCGTTCATGCCGTACTCGTTGAGGCCGATCGTGCCGTAGAAGGTCACCTCAGGCACCTCGTACGCAGCTCGAAGCGCGTGCGCATCCAGCTCGCACTCCCCGCCGGAGCACGCGTGGCTGTCCGCCGAGCGCTTCAGGGCGCGCGTCAGCATGGTCAGCCAGCCTGCGAGGGCCGCGCCATGGTACGACGGCGCCTTGCCGAACCGCGCCATGTAGCCCTCGTAGAAGTCCAGGCCGGTGCCCCACACCTCGTCCGAGCCTGGCGCCGTCGGGGTCCACGGGGTCGGCATGAAGACGTCGATCGTGTTGTAGGGCAGGACGCTCGCCAGCAGCTTGGCATTGTTGACGTTCGTCATGAAGGTGAACTTCGGCCGGATGCCCCTGGCGATCAGGCCGAGGACGACTGCGGTCTGGCTGTCGTAGAGGCCGCACCCGACGACGACGTCGGCCAGGTCTGGGCTGTCCACCAGCGGGTTCAGGCCGTACTGGGTGACGTCGAACATGTCGACAAAGGGGACCGTCCCGATGCCGTCGCAGTCCTTCATCTGCTGATAGATGGAGTCACCACCATCGTCCACCAGCGGGTCGATCGCCGCCTGCAGGGTGATGTTGAACCCCAGCGCGGTCGCCGCGTCGATGGCCCCGATGCAGAGCGACTTGCTGAAGGCGTCGGTCTGGCGCCAGATGAAGGCGGCGGTCGGCACGCGGGCGGTGCCCGAGAGGCGCCTGGCGGCCTCGGCGGCGCCGAGCTGCTCGAAGGAGTGCTCGAGGCCCGCCTTGAAGTAGTTCCCCCCCTTGCCGGTCGACTGCACCCGCAAGTTGAGGCCCCTCCCGCCCTCGGGGTACTCGAATACGCTCTCCGACGCGGCTCCCCAGATGCCGCACAGCACGGATACGTTGCTGTCGTCCAGGAAGTCGCAGACCAGCTTGGTGGCCCCAGAGGTGTACGGGCAGATGACGACGTCTGGGGAGTCCGCGGTGCGGGGGATCAACATGTCGCCCAGCTTCGAAGTGTAGAGGCTCGAAGACGATTCGTCATCTTCGAAAGAAAGCGTTATGTTGTAGGGGAAGCTGTCATCTGCGTCCACCAGCTCCTTCCACATACTCAGGACGTTCAGCGACTGCTCCCCGTAGTAACTGAACCTCCCGGACATCTGCTGCGTGCCACCGAGCACAAGCCTCCCTCGGATGTCCTTTATAGGGCGAGAAAGATGCCATGACAGGATCAGCTCAAGACACGTCATCCTCCTCCTCCTCCTCCTCCTCCTCCTCCTCCTCCTCCTCCTCCCCTCCTCCTCCTCCTCCTCCTCCTCCTCCTTCTCCTCCTCCTCCTCCTCCTCCTCTCCCTCCTCCTCCTCCTCCTCCTCCTCCTCCTCCATCCTCTCCTCATCCTCATCCTCATCCTCATCCTCATCCTCATCATCATCATCATCATCATCATCATCATCATCATCATCATCATCATCATCATCATCATCATCATCATCATCATCATCATCGTCATAGATTCGCCGCTCGCGAGGGGCCTTGCCAGAGGCCCCCGCGAGGGCCCCCAGCAGCAGCCGGGCCGCCAAACCCGCCCGCCAGGCCATCGCCCGGCGCAGCCGCTGCCCACCGGGGCGGCGCAGTCGAGGTAAGAGGGCGGCCTGCCCCGCCGCGCGCACAAGCAGGGGCGGACCGCCCACACGCCGAGCCAAAGCGCTCTTGAGCCAAAATGGCTACGGAAGGAGGAGGAGGAGGAGGAGGAGGAGGAGGAGGAAGCCAGAGGAGGAACGGGTGCCGATGCCTCTGCCTGCTCTTCGCAGCCACGGCTGGCGTTGTTCCAAGATTTCTGGTCAGGACGCGCCCTGCGAGATGTCGACCGTGGGGCCGGGGTTTCCGCACCTTCTGCGTCTTCTCTAGAATGGAGGTTGGGGGGTGAGATCGCAGTGGGCCTGTCCCTCGCAGCCACGGCTGGAGTTGCCCCGCCCCGGGATCTGCTGGGCGGGACCCACCTTGCGAGAGGTCCGTGGGGTGTCTGTTTCGGTGCCTTTCTGTGCCTCATCTTGATTCGGCGGCTAGGGAGGGGGGGGAATGAGAAGGGGCGGGCGTTCTCAGAAGACTTGGAAACTTCCCAGCCTTCTGAATTGCTATCTAAGCGTCTCCCGAAGACAAGGTGAACTTCTCAGAAGGCAGCAGCGCTTTTGAGAAGCTCCACCGCCGTCCGAGAAGGCCTTCTCCTCTTGATTCCCTCCCTCGATCCCCGCCGATTTGTGTCGTCTAGATGAGATTAGGCTCGGACCCGTCGTCGTCATCGTCGCCCATCGTCGTCATCGTCGCCCGTCATCGACGTCCTCGTCGTTGTCGTCGTCGTCGTCATCATCGTCGTCTTCGTCCGTGTTGGAGCCACGTGCCGAAAAGGTGTTGGTGTTCGCCTCCGCGGCGTTATCACGTCGAATGCAATGGAATTGTGCGGTTTGGCAACGTCGCGCGTAAAATTGTATTGTATTTTGCTCGCTGGCCTGTCGTTGCCCCTTTGCGAACGGAGTGGCGCTCCATGTGTTCCCGCCCCGCGGCGTTGCCACGTGGCGAATGAAATCGAATATCTATTTTCGCTCCCCCAAACGCTGCCACGTGGCGAGCGCAGTGGAATTGTACAATATTTTCGGTGCGCGCGGCATTGCCACGTGATGAGTTTGTGTATTTTGACTTATTGTTCACTCCCCATGTCGTTGCCGCGTGGCGAGTGGAATGGGATAGTATTCTTGTTTACCTCTCAGGCCTTGCCACGTGGCGTCGCCATGTGGCGAGCAAAAAAGAATAGCATTTGTCGCCAGCCCGCTTCGTTGCCACGTGCCGAGTAGAGTGGAGTACTTTTGTTTCGCCTCGCAGGCGATGCCACGTGGGCAGTACAGTGGAGTAGTGTATGCTCCCCCCTTCGAGCGCTGCTTCGTGGCAGAGCAGGTGGAGCAGTATTTGTTTCGCTCCCCCGGTGTTGCCACGTGGCGAATCGAGTGAAAACCATGTGTTCTGCCTCGCAGCTTTGCCACGTGAAGAGTCGTGGAGTGGAGCAATTTGCGTTTCGCTCCCCAATCCGTTCCACCTGGCAACTCGCGCGGAATCATATTTGTCAAGACTGCAGGCGTTGCCACGTCGCGATGAGAGTGAAGTAGCACATTTGTTCGCCCCCCAGGCATTTGCCACGTGGCGAGTACAGTGAATAGTTTCAATTTCCGCTCCGCAGACATTGCCGCGTGCCGAGTAGAGGGACGAGGGAGGAGGGAAGAAGACAGAAGAACGAGGATATGGAGAGGGGGGGGGAGAGCAGGGAGGAGGCAGGAGGGATGAGGGCGGAGGGAGCAGGAGGAGGTGAGAGGAGGGAGGGAGGAGGGAGGAGGCAGGATGGAGAAGAAGGGAGAGGAGGCAATAGGGTGAAGGAGAAGCGAGGAGGGAGGAGAGGAGGATAGAAGGCCTGGGAGGAAGAGCGAGGATGTGGGGAGGAGAGAGGAAGGGGACGTGTGAGGATCGGAAGGAGGACGAGAAGGACGGGGAGGAAAGAGGAAGAAAGATGAAGGACGAACGATGTCATTGCTACGCGGCGAGCGGAGTGGGATAGTATTTTTGTTTGCCTACCAGGCCCTGCCACGTGGCGTTGCCATGTGGCGAATAGAATCGAGTAGCATGAGTTTCCGGCATGCTTCGTTGCCACGTGCTCAAACGCTGCCACGTGACGAGTACAATAGAATACTATTTGTTCCCCCCTCCGAGCGCTGCCACGTGACAAAGAGAGTGTAGCAGTATCTGCTTCGCTCCCCTTGCGTATTCACGTGGCGTGCACGAGCGGGCGCGCTCGCGCGCGGGCGGGCGGGCGAGCGCGCGTCGTTCTCGTCGTTGTCGTCGTCATCGTCGTCGTCTCCGTCCGCGTTGGAGCCACGTGCCGAGTAGATTGCGGTGTTCGCCGCCGCGGCGTTGCCACGCCGAATGCAACGGAGTTGTGCGGTTTGGCAACATCGCGCGCAAAATTGCATTGTATTTTGTTCGCCAGCCTGTCGTTGCCCCGTTGCGAACGGAGTGGCGCTCCATGTGTTCCCGCCCTGCAGCGTTGCCACGTGGCGAATAGAATGGAATGTTTATGTTCGCCCCCCCAGACGCTGCCACGTGGCGAGCGCAGTGGGATTGTACAAGATGTTCGGTCCGCGCGGCATTGCCACGTGATGAGTGGAGTGTATTTGTACTTGTCATTCGCTCCCCATGCCGCCCGGATTAAGTCGCCCCTGAAGAAATCCTCTTGGAAGATATCGCCCAGAAGATTTCGCCGCGGCATTGCCACGTGATGGGTGCAGCGGAGGTGTTTCTCTTGTTCTTTCCCCGTGTCATTGCCCCGTGGCGAGTGGAGTGGGGTAGTACTTTTGATTGCCTCTCAGGTCTTGCCACGTGGCGTTGCCATGTGGCGAGTAGAATGGAGTAGCATGAGTTCCTGGCCTGCTTCGTTGCCACGTGCTCAGGCGCTGCCACGTGGCGAGTACAATGAAGTACTATTTGTTCCGCCCTCGAGCGTTGCCACATGGCAAAGAGAGTGGACCAGTACCTATCTGTTTCGCTCCCCCGGCGTAGCCACGTAGCGTGCGCGAGCGGGCGCGCGCGCGCGGGCGGGCGGGCGCGCGGGCGGGCGGGCGGGCGGGCGGGCAGGCTGGCGTGCGGCGGTGGCGGCGGCGTGGTTGTCCTCATCATGATCATCTTCATCTTCATCTTCATCATCATCATCATCAGCATCATCATCATCATCAGCATCATCATCATCACCAGCAGCATTAGCACCATCATAATCATCATCATCGTCATCATCATCATTGTCGTCGATGTCGTCGCTGTCATTGTCGTTGCCATTGTCGTTGTCATGGTCGTCGTCGTCGTCATCGGCATCGTCGCCCTTCGTCGTCATCGTCGTCAGTCGTCGTGGTTCTCGTCGTTGTCGTTGTCGTGGTCATCGTCGTCGTCTGCGTCCGCGTTGGAGCCACGTGCCGAGTAGACTTTGGTGTTCGCCGCCACGTCGAATGCAGCGGAGGTATGCGGTTTGGCAACGTCGCGCGCAAAATTGCATTGTACTACCTTGTTCGCCGGCCTGTCGTTGCCCCGTTGCAAACGGAGTGGCGTTCCATGTGTTCCCGCCCCGCGGCGTTGCCACGTGGTATATATAATGGAATATGTGCTTTCGCCCCCCCCGCCACACCCCAGACGGTGCCGCGTGGCGAGTAGAATGGGATTGTCTATGTTCGGTCCGCGTGGCATTGCTGCGTGATGAGTTGAGTAGATGCTTTACTTCTTGTTCGCTCCCCATATCGTTGCCGCGTGGCGAATGGAATGGGATAGTATGTATGTGTACGTTTCAGGCCTTGCCACGTGGCGTTGCCATGCGGCAAGTGGAGAGGAGTAGCATTTGTTGTCGCCCCGCTTCGTTGCCACGTGCCGAATAGGAGTGGAGTGCTTCTGTTTCGCTCCGCAGGCGCTGCGACGTGTTGAGTACAGTGGAGTAGTATATGTTCCCCCCCAGAGCGCTGCCTCGTGGCAGGGAGAGTAGAGCAATATTTGTTTCGCTCCCCCAGTTTGCCACGTGACGAGTAAAGAGAATTACCCTGGCGGCGTACGCAACCCCTGCGCAATGCGGGGCATGAGTAGCTTGTGAGACGTTATACGGAGGTGTTGACGTGACATGGGCGCATATACTTCTGCGAGCGGCATTCGTGAGGCTCGCAGCCCCCCAAGGATCGCGACGTCCCGCTCAGATCTGCCTGGTGCCTCGCTCCGCTGGACCCCTCAGCAGCCCTCGAAAGTGGCGACCGTTTCGCAGATCGCAGCCCCCAGGGACGGCGAGGTCCCGCTCAGGTCCGCGCGGTGCCTCACTCCGCAGGACCCACCAGCAGCGCTCGAAAGTGGCGACAGTTTCGCAGATCGCAACCCCCCAGGGACGGCGAGGTCCCGCTCAGGTCCGCGCGGTGCCTCACTCCGCAGGACCCACCAGCAGCCCTCAAAAGTGGCGACAGTTTCGCAGATCGCAGCCCCCCAAGGACCGCGAGGTTCCGCTCAGGTCCGCGCGGTGCTTCACTCCGCAGGACCCACCAGCAGTCCTCGAAAGTGGCGACAGCTTCGCAGATCGCAGCCCCTCAGGGACGGCGAGGTCCCGCTCAGATCCGCGCGGTGCCTCACTCCGCAGGACCCACCAGCAGCCCTCGAAAGTGGCGACAGCTTCGCAGATCGCAGCCCCCCAGGGACGGCGAGGTCCCGATCAGATCCGCACGGTGCCCCACTCCGCAGGACCCACCAACAGCGCTCGAAAGTGGCGACAATTTCGCAGATCGCAGCCCCTCAAGGACGGCGAGGTCCCGCTCCGATCTGCGCGGGGCCTCACTCCGCAGGACCCACCAGCAGCCCTCGAAAGTGGCGACAACTTCACAGATCGCAGCCCCCCAGGGACGGCGAGGTCCCGCTCAGATTCGCGCGGCGCCTTACTCCGCAGGACCCACCAGCAGCCATCGAAATTGGCGACAACTTCGCAGATCGCAGCCCCCCAGGGACGACGAGGTCCCGCTCAAGTCGGCGCGGTGCCTCAATCCGCAGGACCCACCAGCAGCGCTCGAAAGTGGCGATCGTTTCGCAGATCGCAGCCCCCCAGGGACGGCGAGGCCCCGCTCAGGTCCGCGCCGTGCCTCACTCCGCAAGACCCACCAGCAGCCCTCGAAAGTGGCGACAGCTTCGCATATCGCAGCCCCCCAGGGACGGCGAGGTCCCGCTCAGGTCCGCGCCGTGCCTCACTCCGCAAGACCCACCAGCAGCCCTCGAAAGTGGCGACAGTTTCGCAGATCGCAGCCCCCCCCAGGGATGGCGAGGTCTAATTTGAATCTGCGTGTGGCGTCACTGTGCTGGGCCCCCCAGCAGACCTCGAAAGTGGCGACAGTTTCGCAGAACTTAGCCCCCCAGGGATGGCGAGGTCTAATTTGGGTCCGCGCGTGGCGTCACTGTGCTGAGCCCCCCAGCAGGCCTCGAAAGTGGCGACAGCTTCACAGATCGCAGCCCCCCAGGGATGGCGAGGTCTAATTTGAGTCTGCCATTGGCGTCACTGTGCTGGGCCCCCCAGCAGGCCTCGAAAGTGGCGGCAGTTTCACAGATCGCAGCACCCCAGGGATGGCGCTGCCTAATTTGGGTCCGCGCGTGGCGTCACTGTGCTGGGCCCACCAGAGGCCTCGAAAGTGGCGACAGCTTCACAGATCGCAGCCCCCCCCCCAGGGATAGCGAGGTCTAATTTGAGTCTGCCCGTGGCGTCACTGTGGGCTCAAAGCAGGCCTCGAAAGTGGTGCAGTTTCACAGATCGCAGCCCCCCAGGGATGGCGAGGTCTAATTTGAGTCTGAACTGTGCTAAAGAGAGCCTAATTTGGGTCCGCGCGTGGCGTCACTGTGCTGGGCCCCCCAGCAGGCCTCGAAAGTGGCGACAGTTTCACAGATCGCAGCCCCCCAGGGATGGCGAGGTCTAATTTGGGTCCGCGCGTGGCGTCACTGTGCTGGGCCCCCCAGCAGGCCTCGAAAGTGGCGACAGCTTCACAGATCGCAGCCCCCCAGGGACGGCGAGGTCTAATTTGAGTCTGCCCGTGGCGTCACTGTGCTGCCCCCCCCAGCAGGCTTCGAAAGTGGCGACAGTTTCACAGATCGCAGCCCCCCCCAGGGATAGCGAGGTTTATTTCGAGTCTGCCCGTGGCGTCACTGTGTTGGGCTCAAAGCAGGCCTCGAAAGTGGCGGCAGTTTCACAGATCGCAGCCCCCCAGGGATGGCGAGGTCTAATTTGAGTCTGCCCGTGGCGTCACTGTGCTGGGCCCCCCAACAGGCCTCGAAAGTGGCGACAGTTTCACAGATCGCAGCCCCCCAGGGATGGCGAGGTCTAATTTGGGTCCGCCCGTGGCCCACTGTGCTGGGCCCCCCAGCAGGCCTCGAAAGTGGCGACAGTTTCACAGATCGCAGCCCCCCAGGGCTGGCGAGGTCTAATTTGAATCCGCGCGTGGCGTCACTGTGCTGGGCCCCCCAGCAGGCCTCGAAAGTGGCGACAGCTTCACAGATCGCAGCCCCCCAGGGATGGCGAGGTCTAATTTGAGTCTGCCATTGGCGTCACTGTGCTGGGCCCCCCAGCAGGCCTCGAAAGTGGCGACAGTTTCACAGATCGCAGCCCCCAGGGATGGCGAGGTCTAAATTGAGTCTGCCATTGGCGTCTCTGTGCTGGGCCCCCCAGCAGGCCTCGAAAGTGGCGACAGTTTCGCAGATCGCAGCCCCCCGCAAGCAAGACAGGAGGAGGCAGGAGGGAGGCGGGACGGGAGGCAGGAGGGAGGAAAGGAGGAAGTGGAGACCACACTGCTCTATTCAAAACGAATACCCAACCAAGGAGGGTTGGGAACAAATAGGTGTTCTGCCTCGCAGGCGTTGCCACGTGGCGAGCCGTGGAATGGAACACTTCGTGTTCCGCTCCCCAATCGCTTCCACCTGGCAACTCGCGCGGAATAGTATTTGTGTCAGTCCCGTGCGCGTTGCCACGTCACGAGGAGAGTGGAGTAGCACATTTGTTCGCCCCCCAGGCGTTTGCCACGTGGCGAGTACAGTGGAATAGTTTTAGCTTTTGGCCCGCAGGTTTTGCCGCGTGCCGAGTAGAGGGGCGAGGGAGGAGGGAAGAGGAGAGAGGAACAAGGAGGGAGGGGGGGTGGGGGGAGAATAGGGAGGAGGCAAGAGGGAGGAGGGAACAGGAGGAGGAGGTGGGAGGAGAGAGGGAGGAGGGAGGAAGCAGGAGGGAGGAGAAGGGAGAGGAGGCAAGAGGCAGGAGGAGGGAGGAGGGAAGAGGGACGAGAGGAGAGGCCTGGGAGGAAGAGCGAGGAGGTGGAGGAGGAGGAGCGAGGAGGGGACCAGAAGAAGCCGCATCGGCAGAACTCACCCTCGGGAAGACTCGTCCAGAAGAAGTCGCCTGGAAAAAGGGGCCTGGAAGAAAGCGCTTCAGAACAATCACCATCGGACAAAAATCGCCCGGATGAATTCTGCCGGAAGAACTCGCCCATGCATAAGAAATCGCCCAGGACGAAGTCATCATCGGAAGAAATCGTCCGGGAGAATTCTTCCAGAAGAAGTCGCCTGGAAGAAGTCATCTCGGAAGAAGACACCTTCAGACGACTCGCCCAGAAGATTTCCTCTGGAAGGAATTGTCTGGAAGAAATCGCCTCGGAAATCGTCTGGAAGATGTCGCCCGGAAGAAAAGATCCAGAAGAAGTCGTCCAGAAGAAGTCGTTCGGGAGAAGCCGTCCGAAAGAAGTCGTCAGGAAGAAGTCGTCGCGGAAAAAACCGTGCTAGGAAGAGACCAAGAGACCGTCGCGGAGCAGAGCAAGGGAGACGGAGGAGGAAGGCAAAGAGTAAGAAGAGGATGAATGACGAGGCGGGGGAGAAATAATCGGACGAAGTCGCTCGAAAAAGATCGTTCGGAAGAAGTCGCCCGGAAGATATCGTTCGGAAGAAACGGTTCAGAAGAAATAGTCCGTCAAAAGTCGTTGCGGAAGAAGTGGACCTCGGAAGAAGTGGTCCGGAAGAAGTCGTCCAGTGGAAGTGGTCCGGAAGAACTCGTTCGGAAGAAGTCGGCGCGGAAAAAAAGTAGGCTTTCAAACACGAATCTCGGGTTTCGGCCGCTTTTCGCATGCTTTTCGGTTGTTCCTGGACCAGTGTCGAGGCTGGCGTGGAGGCCTCTTGGGTGTCTCTTGGGGCTCCCTGGAGCCATCTTGGGGCTATCTAAGACTTTGCGGGGGATGGAGGAGCGGGGCTGTGGCTGCGGAAGAGGACAAAGCCGCGGAGGAGGAGGATGAGGAGGACAATGCTGAGGACGAGGGGGAGAAGGAGGAGGAGGAGGAGGAAGGAGGAGGAGGAGGAGGAGGAAGAAGAGGAGGAGACGGAGGAGGAGGAGGGGAAGCAGCAGCCCGGAAGAACTGGGCCTGAAGAAGCCGTCCGGAAAAAATCGTTCGGAGAAGGTGGGGGAGGAACGACGAGGCGGAGGACCTCTCGGAAAAAATCGCTCGGATGAAGTCATTCGGAATAAGTTGTTCGGAAAAATCGTCTGGATCGTCCAGAAGAAATCGCCCCGAAGAAATCGTTTCGGGAGAAATCGTCTGGAAGAAGTCGTCTGGAGGAGATCGTCCGGAAAAAATCGGCCGGAAGAAAACGTTCGGAAGAAGTCGTCCGCAAGATTTGCTTCCGGAAAGAAGTCGTCGGGAAAGAATGGTCTGGAAGAACTCGTCCGAAAAAACGATCCGGAAGAAACCATCCGCAAGAAGTCGTTCGGAGTAGGTGGAGAAGGGCCGAGGAGCTGGAGGAGAAAATCTCGGAAGAAATCGCTCGGAAGAAATCGTTCAGAAGAGTCGACCGGAAGAAGTCGTCCGGAAGAAATGGTTCGGAAACATTATTCCGGGAGAAGTCCTCGCGGAAAAACTCATCGTCGGAAGAAGTAGTCTGGAAGAAGTCGTCCGGAAGAAGTGGTCCGGAAGAAGTCGTTCGGAAGAAGTCGTTCGGAAAAAGTCGGCGCGGAAGAAACAGTAGGCTTTCCTTCTCAGGTACTAGGTGGCGAGCGTATGCTCCAAGCCATGGGCGTACCTATCTTTTCTGGTTTTCGCGCCTATTCCCTTTCCACTTTACGCTTGTTGCGTATAACTTGTCTGCCGCACACTACGCCTCAGTCGGCATTGCAACGCCTCAAGTATTCCCCCACAGAACGCAACAGCCACAAGCTGACATAGAATATGGAAGGAAAAAGCAAGCACTGGAAGAACCTCTGCTCGGAAAACGTCTCGGGGCCGTCGCCCTCCACTGCCGTGACCTCTACCGAGACCTCCAAGCCCCCGTCGAACTCCTCTGGGGGAACCAAAAAGGTACGGCCACCGCTGCTCCCCAGACCTCTTGTGGGGTGCGTTCTGACCAGATTCTGAACAGAATCCAGCCGTGGCGACGAAGGTTTCCAAGGAGGCCCGAAAAGGCGAATACGAGGTAGCGGTATTTTTTTTTCTCCCTCTGAACTCCTCGCGCCTATCGTCGATCGCGCTGCAAGCCCGAGGGAGTCGCAGCCGGGTCTCGTGGCCAGGCGTCGACTTGACGTCCCAGATGCTCACCAGTCGCAGCCGGCGCAGGAAGAGCATCACCACCGGCGGGAGCCTCGGGACGCCCAGGGCGCAGGCGTCCCCGTCGCGCACGGGCAGGTACACCGCCGTGCCGCTGTCTGGGACCTGGCGCGGCAAGGCCTGGCGCTCCTCCTGTCGATGATCCTCATAACGTGCGTTGCAGCTGGACCAAGGACAGAAGAACATCCATCAAGAGCATGAGGCCCTCCGCAGGCCCAAAAACCCCAATCCAACCGATCACCGAGGATACCCTTCCCCAGGATGCGCAAGAACATATGACGAACACGAAGAGCACGAAGGTACCCTCTCCGAACCGACCTCGATTTGATATTTCGGTCCGACCGTAGCGCCAGAGAGTGTTAGCGCCTTCCCATGTGGCACAGACAACGTAAGAACGAGGGCGGACACCAGGGGCGTACGGCTGAACGGGGTACATACACAAACTCTTTCTTTTCGCGGCCACGCGCGCAGCCGCGCGGCGTAGAGCAGGTCGAGCGAGAGCGAGACACGAGCGCGGGCCGACACACAAACACACACACACAAAAAAAAAAAAAAAAAAACACAGGCACTAACACAAACGTAAACACAAGCACAAACACAAGCACAAACAACAAACAAACACACAAGCAAACACAAACACAAGCACAAGCGCAAGCACAAGCACAAGCTCAAACACAAACACAACCACACACACACACTTTTAAGTCGGCGACGCAGAGGGACCTCATGCGCGGTCGGCAGGTGGAAGTGCCAATTGCGAACGAACCTAGTCGAACGCGCCATGATGAAAGAGCCCAGTAGTCACGGCCATGCAGATTGGTGGTGAAAGACGCGAGGCGCTGTAACGCCAAACTGTAGCAGCCAGAAAACCCGAGGAACATAAGCTCGACGCGGGTAGTTTGAAGCGCAAGCAGAAGTCTGGTGCTCTAATTGGAGTCTCAAAGTGACAGCAGCAAAAAAGAACAACTAGAAGGCTGCCAGACCAGCCCACCTGGTGGCGGAAGCACAAACACACACACACACACACACACACACACACACACACGCGCGCGCACACGTTTTGGCGGTCGCGGCCTCCCGCGCAGCGTCGAAGCGGAGAAAGTCACCGCGCACACACACACACACTCCCACACACCCACACACTCACACACAAATCTACACACTGGACTGGCACACGCTCTGACGGCCATCGATCCTGCGAGAGCGGCCAGGGCGTCAGGTGCGGCAGCGGGACCTCCGCCGCGGCGTCGAAGCGGAAGAGGAAGGGGAGGGACAGCACGTGCGGCGTGCCCGAGACGAGGAAGTAGGACTTGAAGCCGAGGCCCTTGCAGCCCGTCGCCGCGCGCGCCGAGGACCTCTTGGTGGACTTGGCGATGTCGCACACGGCCCGGACGTCCTCCGGCTGGAAGCCCCGCTCGTTCCTCGGGGGAGTCCAAGAGGGGCGTTCGGGGAGATCTCATGGCCCTGACCATGATATCCACCACCACAGTCATCACCCCCCTCTCGGCCGCCCCCGAGTTCCACTGCATCCAGAAGTACTCCCCAGGGCGGCACGTGACGTGCAGCTGCGGCTCGACGTCGTCCTCGAAATCGCAGTCGTCCGCGTTCTGGACGCACTCGAGCAGGAAGCGGTCAGGCTGCGAGTACACCCCCAGCGCGAGTTCCCGCACGGACGCCTCGGCGGTGCACATAGCCCCCCTCAGCAAAACGACCTTTAGCGAGAACGGCCTGGGACCAGCCCTGGCAGACGCCGGCCCGCAAATATTGGCGCCGCAACGCCCTGTCGAGAACCGACCAAGGTGGACGAGCAAGCAGCTGCATAAACACAAACTTTTGGAGGGCCGTGCGGATCCCGTCTGGGGCGCGGAGCGCGCCGGTGGCGGCGCCAGAGGCGGCGCCAGGGCGGCCCAGCGGCGATCCGACAAGTCCGCGCGGAGCTCCGACGGTGTATGCGTATGCAGTCTTTCTCTGTTCTTCGAACACCGAAGAGGGTCAATTCGCTCATCGGCTTGGCGGGGTCGGGTTTCTACCGAGCTCCGAGCGCCTGCAGGGAGCTCTGCATGTGCTGGACGGCCTCGCGGCAGAACTCTGGGAGGCGGCTCAGGTCCAGGAGCCGCTCCCTGCGGATTCCTTCGAGTAGATCCTGCTGGCGGCGCGCAGAAAGGGGGAGGCAGGAAGCGGCTCATCGGGCGCCCTCCCCGCCTTCCAAGGGGCCTTCTCGAACACCTCCGAGCCATCCCGAGAGCCACCACCCTGGCCCCTCTGCCCGCCAAGATCCTCCGTCGTCGACGTCGTCGCCGTCGCAAGATCGCGGCCTGAAAGCCAGAGCACATGCTGGCCCACTTCACGAGCCCTGCCCCCGACGTGGCCACGAGAGCCACCAGGAGGCGCGCAAAAGGGCCACACGGCATTCGAGAGCCCCTTGCCTCGGCATGAACCGAAAGGGTCCATAGAGCTCTTCCCCCCAGAGCCTCTTCCTCAGGAGGAGGGAGGAGGCGGAGGAGAAGGAAGAAGAGGACGACGAGGACGAGGAGGAGAAGGAGGAGGAGAAGGAGGCGGAGGAGGAGGAGGCGGAGGAGGAGGAGGAGGAACACGAGGAGGAGGAGGAGGCACAGGAGGAGGAGGAAGAGGAATAGGAGAAGGAGGAGGAGGAGGAGGAGGAGGAAGAAGAAGAGGAGGCGGATGAGGACGACGCGGAGAAGAAAGGGGAGAAATATGAGGAGGAGGAGGAGGAGGAGGAGGGAGGAGGAGGAGGAGAAACATAAGGATGAGGGCGGAGGAGGAGGAGGAGGAGGCGGAGGAGGGGAGGCGAGGAGGAGAGGAGGGAGCAGGAAAAGAGGAAGAGGGGAGGAGGAAGAGGAGGAAGAGGAGGAAGAGGCGAAGAGGAGAAAAAAAAGGAGGGAGGAGGTGGAGGGAAGGATGAGGCGGAGGAGGAGGAGGAAACGGATAGGAAGAGGAGGAGGAGAAGGCGGGAGGAGGGGGAAGAGTAGGAGAGGAGAGGAGGAGCAGGAGCAGGAGCAGAGAGCAGGAGCAGGAGGAGGAGGAGGAGGAGAAAAAGGAGGAGCAGGAGCAGGGAGGAGGAGGAGGAGGAGGAGGGGAGGGGGAGGAGGAGGAGGAGGAGGAGGAGGAGGAGGAGGAGGAGGAGGAGGAGAGGAATAGGAGGAGAAGAAGGGAGGCGGATCGCAGAGGAGAAAGAGGAGGAATGGAGGCGGAGGAGGAGGAGGAGGAGGAGGGGGGAGGAAGAGGGGGGAGGACCAAGAGGAGGAGGATAATGAGGATTAGGGGGGGGGAGGAGAAGAGGAAGAGGAAGAGGAGGAGGAAGAGGAGGAGAAGAGGAGGAGGCGGAGGAGAATGATGATGATGAGGAGGAGGAAGGCAGAGGAGGAGGCGAGAGGAGGAGGAGGAGGAAGAGGAGGAGGAGGAGGAGGAGGACGAGGAGGAGGAGGAGGCGACGACGACGAGGAGGAGGAGGGGGAGGAGGAAGGAGGAGGAGGAGGAGCAAGAGGAGAAAGAGGAGGAGAGGAGGATTAGGAGGAGGACGAGGAGGATGAGAACGAGGAGGCGGACGACGAGGAGCAGGAGGAGGAGGAGAAGGAGGAGGAGGGCGGGGACAAGGACGAGGACGAGGACGAGAACAAGGAGGAGGACGAGGACAAGGAGGAGGAGGAGGTAAAACAACGTTCAATCATCTAGTCATGCCACGAGTTCCCTGGTTCCAGGAAGAGGAGGAGGAGGACGACGAGGAGGAGCAGGAGGAGGAGGACGACGACGAGGACGAGGACGAGGAGGAGGAGGAGGAAGAGGAGGAGGAGGAGGAGGACGAGGACGAGGTGGAGGAGGAAGAGGAGGAGAAGGAGGAGGAGGAGCAGGAGGAGGAGGAGGAGGAGGAGGAGGAGGAGGAGCAGGAGGAGCAATGCCTTGTCTTGGACCCCGCGGGCTCTTTCCCCCCAGGGCCTCAGCCTCTCGCCTCGAATTTCCTCGGGGCGAAGAACTAGTCCCGGGGGTCGCTGTCGGGGGAGGGAAGGAGCAACGGCACTGCCACTTACCGACGTCTCTCCTGGGGCACGTTCTGACCAGTATCTCGAGGAGCATTCAGCCGTGACGGCGAGGGCTCTCCAGGACGAGCAGCGGTTTCGATGCACTCAGAACTGACAGTAAGGATACGCGATGAGGACACAATCCCCATGGACGCCCGTGTTGGAGCTTTTCGAACGCGGCAAGCCATCAAAAGTGTTTTCTGATCAACCGAAGAGGCAAGGATGCAAAGGCACCCCTGGGAAAAGGGTACCCATCCCTATCATCGGTTTCGACTGAACCCTGTCCTCCTCCGGGTTTTCACACCATCCTGGGGCCTGCACAAGGCCTTGAGAAGCCCGAGAGCGAACCGAAATCCGGGGCCCCACCTCCCTCGCGTCGATCGCCCTCGGCACCCCCCTTTGGCTTCGCTCTCGGAGGAGAAGGAACAGGAGGAAGAGGAGGACGAGGAGGAGGAGGAGGAGGGAGAGGAGGAGGAGGTGGAGGATGGGCAGGCTATGAGACTGTGAGACTACCTCTTATGGTTACCCCCTCGCTCGCCACTACGGGCGCGAACACGGGGGGAAACCAACCCCCGCGCCAGGCAAAACAGAGCCTTCCCCCGCCCAACAGAGCCACGAGACCCCAAGCCATGCCCCAGAGGGCCAGGCCACCAAAGCCCAAAGCCTACCCAGCCCCCGCACGGGAGCATAGTTGACTCTGCGCCGTGAGAAGGAAGGTCCCCCCCCCCGCCCGTCCAGCCCACAGAGCTCGCCGAACAATCGCCCATCCCTCCTCGACCTCCTTCCAGTCGAAGTGCGATGATCCCTGCCGTCTTCACGCGGCGACTGCGCTCCGCGCGTCCACGGACCCGCGCAGCATGCGCCACGCGACTCACCCCGAAAATGGATCTCGAGCTTTTCCCAATCAGACTTCGGGAACACCGCGCTCCGACAGCATGCGCTCTCCAAGCGCAGCACCACACAGTAAACGCCGTATTAAACGAAGACCTTCACACACATGAAGAATACTACGAGCGCGCACTTCCCTATGGAGTGCATTTCACAGAAACTTCACCATGGGGAACGCCGAAGCTCGAGGCGCTGCGCCACTTCGACGTGCGCGCCCCGACCGATTGAACGGACCCCAGCTCGACGCGAAAGTATTTGAGCCAAAAAGGCTATGGGGCATAGGCGGAGGAGGAGGAGGAGAAACAGGAAGAGGAGCAGCAGCAGCAGCAGCAACAACAGCAGCAGGGATCACAGTAAGAGCAGGAGGAGAAGGAGGAGGAGCGAACATCCTCTGAAGAGTCCTGGTCGCCTAAGCCTCGCGCAGACGCTGGACGGCGAGAGCGCGGAAGCGTGCAGCGGCAGGCGCAGTGATGTGAACGCGGAGGGGGGGGGGCCGATCCCCCCTTTATGGCATGATATATGTAGAAGGCTATGGCAAGGGAGCGCACAACATACCCGAGCGAGTGCCGACCCACGTGCGCCGCCTCCGCGCCCAAACCCAGTCGAACTAATACCTCGTCACTCAATGGTCGCTGAGGGTCGGCCACAAGCTCTAGGAACTGATCAAAAACGAGATAGTGCGGAAAACAATCTACTCCGTCAGAACATCCCATAAGGCAAGCTTTCAAGCCCTGAACAACGTGCATCCGATTGCTTGTGGTCCAGGCGCCACACAGCGCTTGAATTGCACACCGGCGAATCGCCGGCTTGCAGCGAGCGAGATAGGAGCGGAGAAAAGCCAACGGGCCTCGAGATCAGGAGGAAGAGAAAGGAGAGTCAACCACCTGCTCAGGCGCCTACGGATGGTGTCAGAGAAGCGGTCAGGATACAGAGAACGTGTGAGATGGTCGTTGGCAGCGCGCTGCATCTTCGGTTTGCGCCTCTCCCCCAATGCGAGATCCCTAGACACCTCAGCCCTCCCCGCTCTAATGGCAGCGCGCTGGGTCTCTGGCGAAATCTTGCACGAGCTAACAAATGAGATGGGTTGGCACACGCATGCATTCGAGAACCGCTGAACGATCGATGTCTGCTCAGCCCACCACGCCGGAGACCACTGACCATTGCAGAAGCGAAAGACTGGGGCGGCATCCGCGGCGGCCTGCTGCATCCGCTCGAACGAGGCCCGCCACCCCGTCAGCGCGGCGGCGCAAGTACGCCAAAGAGAGGCGAGGCCGAGGGCAACGATCGAGCCTTGGCCGCCTCCGCGACACCAGAGCTCGAACGAGAGAGCGTCTGCCCTCTTCAAAGAGCTGGGCGGGAGACGGTGCAGCGTACGTATGCAAGCCGTGAATCTCCCGCTTAAGCAGACGAGCAATGGGATGGAAAAGTTTGGCAACATAGCTCGGCGTGGGAGGAGCGGCAGATAAGCACAGGGGCGCGAGGGCAGACGGAGGAGCACGAGTGATGCTAGCTAGATGGATACGTGACCACCACTTCTCCACAGGGGCTTTCCACTGGAGATCAGCCGTGGCCCCAGGCCCAAGCCAAACACCGAGGTACTTCGCAACGTCAGAAACCTGAAACGAGCACCAACTAGAACAGGCGGCCCCAAGGTCAGCCAAAGTTTGGCCGCGGACCTCAAAGGTGATGGGCGACCACGGGGGGGCAGCTGCACATTTGGCCGGCTGGAGAGCCAGTCCCGCGAGGCGCTCAGCGAAACAGAAAGTTCCAGCGATCAACGCGAGCTGAGTGATGCAGAGCAAAATCAGCCCAACATCGTCGGCGCACGCTCGCGCGACGCCGTGATCGATCGACGGGGAGGGTCTGTGAAGATGGCGCGGCAGAGGGTCCATCGCTAAGGCCCAGAGGCTGCCTGAAAGGGGGCGCCCTTGAAGGGCGCCGCTAGCATGCTCGCGCATCGGCGTCAAGGGCGCGTCTCCGAACCTGGCGACCGCTATCGGGGCCGCGCGCAATGCGCCGATGGCCCAACGCACTCCGAGCGGAACGCCATAGTGCAGGAGCACTAGCTCGAGCCGGCGTCTGGATAGACTAGGGAACGCTGCCATGAAATCGAAGGAGGGCAAGAGTGGCCGCTCGT